TCTCCAAATCGGGCCGAATCTTCTCCAGATTGAATCCGTGGCCAAAACTTCGCACACCCCTAATATGGAGTTAAAAATGGTGCGTTGCAAAGGGACATAAAAGAACCTGGATAGATCAGATAAAAATGTAGTACATCGTGATACAAATCAGTCCATTTAGCCATATTAGTGAGGAAAAGGTCAGAAAACAGAAAGTAATGTACAATGGAAAATAAATGTTATGCAAGAGAGACCACAGCTCAGATGAATTAAGTTAGACATCTTTGGGAGGAGCAGAAGTGGGTGAGACGTTAAAAAAACTCCACATTTTACACAGCTGTGTGTTTAACATGAACCTATCCCTGCAAGCATATCACTGAATACATTGGTATCCCACAGGACTGCCCAGACTTCCTGTAGGTACCTAAGATCATTTTTTACCTAAGGAACAGCTCTATTTATTAGTACCAAAGCTCTGATCTACACCTGACTTAACCACTTACATGCTTAAACACAAGAATGTGCTTAAGCTTTTAGTACAGCTAGACCCTGACTGCTTTTCTTGTATTCACCAAATATATTAGAAAATATGAAATTACAGTATATTTGGGGGTGTAGCTCAGCAGTTTTTAGCCCACAAAGACAAATCTGTGCCAGTTTTGCCAGAGCAAAAATTGAGTAAGAACGTACATGTTTTGGTGCTAGGTAAGTTTGATCAGGAGCACAGCTGCATCTCTCTTTGAAACCAGTAACTACTTGTTTTTTTCATTAATGTCTTACTCAAATAATGGCATCACTTCACTATTTACAGGCTGTGATGACTGCCCAGTAAAATGAGGAAATTCAATCAAGACTTGAATAAATCAGGCAGAATTTTCTTTTAAAATTAGCACTGCTGCACAGAACTACCAATTCAGTGTTGTACAGCTGTGACTATCTGTGCATTTCAGGAGTTGGCTGTGTTGCACAGAGGCAGTCTGCACTGGGTGGTAGTCCATGAAAGCTCTCAGCCCCTTCCCAGAAAATGTAAAAGCCTTATTTCCCTTAACAACATGCTGTCATGACCATGCTTTCTGCATTTCCTATTCTAGAGGACAGTACAAGACGTGGGATAGGATAAGCAGCATGCGGTCTGTATTCACACTAGTTGATGATCTAGTCTGGTGTCTGGCTTTCCATTTATTGCAATCTACAGGGACCCAGGCATCAGTACAGAAAACATTGTCCTTCCCCACAGACCCAAGCAAAAGCCCTAGCTCATGAAGTACTGAATAGTTTCAATCAAATCTAAGGCTTTCAAGTCCTGTTTTCCTTCATATCATCTCATCCCTGCCCTTTATTTTAGAGCTGTGGTAACCACTGTGGTCTCTTGCACCCAAGGCAAGCAGTCACCAGGCAGACTGCCCTGCTGCTCTGTAGTCAGCTGCAACAGGGTATTAGAGTACTTGGAAGTTGCTTTTCCAAGTATTTCCCTTGCATTAGTCAATTAAATACTCAGGATACAACATCGGGGTTCATTTTAGCAAAGTTGTATGTAAACTAGTGTTACACAACATTGGCAGTTTGTAATGAATTCTGGCGAAGTTTAAACCAGTCTGGTATGTCCTATATTCAAAGACTATACTGCTTTAGAAACAGGTGCATGCAGTTTTATGCTAGCTCTTATTTAAATATTATTATGACACTGGTTTGTATCTAAGTTTGGAAACATCACCTATTTGTGACGTTCAGGCAGCACAATTTGGGTTTTCTTTTGCACAGCAGCTACTTTTGAAATAAGATTGGGGGGGGGGGGGTTCTTTTCTTTTGAAAGAAGCAGTTTGCAGGTGCCCACCACCTACATCTATTACTTAACGCAGTTCTGTAAATAAATGTAGCCCTTCACAAAACTGGTAGGAAACAAAAGACATCTAAGAGTGAATGAGTTTAACATTAGGCAGGCCACATCTTAAACATTTCAGATCACACACCTGATTATTACTGAGCACCTTCAGCTCCTATTAACTCCAATTGGAAGTTTCCCCTCCAGGAGCAAACCTTTCTACAAGCAAGGCTTCAGTTGCAGTAGATCAATGTATGAATGATTCCTCGAAAGAGTAGTCATGAAGGAAGTGAAAGGGCTACTCAAGGACAGCAGAAGCAAGAGAGCAAGGCTTAGGAGGTAGCCTAAGGAGTAGTGTGAAAAAGAAGTGCAAACAGTGGTAACAGAGGATGAAGGAGGAGGGAATAAGGAGACAAATATGAAATACAGGAAATAAAATTAAAGACTTTGGTGTTTTGATGTGTTGTGTGAGGAGGAGTTTTAAATTGATGCAGTAGAAGTCAGGAAGCCAAATGAAGGACTAGCAGATATCTTAACAGCTCCTAAGGAACATACATTGCATTTATCCCAGGATAAACCATTTTATCCTTGGACAAAGTGTAGTTGTTCAGACATCCATGCCTGTTGTCCCAGACAAATCCTAGAAAGGTTCATGGGATAAGAAATACTAACATTTTATCTGAACAGTGATCCTGGGATTGCATCACTGAATCAATTTCAGAAAAGCGGCAGTATGTTCAGCTGCTCTCCAAAACCTGATTAGAAAGGTGATGTATGTACACACCAATCCTAGGATATTTCTGTTCAGGGACAAATACAGATACAGCTTGTCCAGGGACAAATGCAACATCTGTTTCTAGCCTTTTTTCCAGGTGACATGCCATCATCAATAATGAACATTCATGTTCTTGCACTCACTTGTCAGTAATTGCTTCTTCATGGAAACTTGTAGTTGTACGTTATTTTCCTTTCAACAATGAAGTGGAGCGGTTGGATGAAATCATCGGTTATCCAAGCCAAATCCAGGGGCTTCCAGTGCTTGCTTTCCTTTGCTGTAATCAGAGATATCATAGTTGCAAATGACACTGAGACAGCGAGATGGATGGCAAGGTATTACCAGCTAACAGAGTTTAATTTGTTTCATACACTTGGCTGATCAATGGTCCTGCGAATTCTGAACATGCTGTAATGAAGGCAGTCCCTTGTATCTAATCAGTCAGATCCCTCGCCACCGCCAGAGTGGTTGTCACTGCTGAATAAAGCAATCATCACTGAGGACTTGTTAAGGTGTGAAGGCAAATCAGTCACTGAGGTCTCTTTAATGATTGAGCGGATGTATTCTACTCTAATGTTGGAGCATGCAAATTGGCAAAGCATTAACAGGGCTGATGAGGGCTCAGAGGAAGCAGACATATATGTAGGGCAAAATCCCAACCACCTGGAAATCCATAGGCGAATTACCATTTGGGAGGAACAGTTCCATCTTTTCTGATTGTAGAAGCATGAGGTCTTTTAGGAGTTTTATTTTCTTTTAATTCAGAAAATGAATCTGAAAAAAATGGTTTATTTTCAATTTCAAAATTGTACCTCATGTTGGGTTCTCATCTGTTTCCTCTCCTGTCAAGCTATTATGCATGTAATCAGCTATTCTTAATGACATTGTCAGCTGGTTCATACATTTTGGAGAAAAAAGGGGGAACAGAGTCTGCTTCTTCTCACAGCTGTTGGTTGCTAGTTTAATTTTACTCATCTTCCTCCCACCATCCCTCACAGGGGATATCCCAGGAGCTGTTATGCCTCAACAACCTTATATTTATCCTATAGAAGAAGATAGCCATAGTTTTTTGCCCCGAAGGTACTGGGTGATATATTTTGAGGAGCTTGTGGACATTTGTGGTAGATGTCATTGACAAAGACCATGGGTTAAGCAAGCACCATAGAAGGTGCCATGTTGAAGAGACATTACAAGATTGAGCTAGTTGGAAAAGTTCCACTGAAACTTTTTTTTTAAAGCTCCATTAAATAGCATAGAGGACACTGAGCCTCTTCACCCAGTGGGCATAACTTAATGCTCTTTGATTTTGTTAAGTCAGTACCTCTGGGCCTAATCAGCATTGCAAAATCGTTTGCACCTGCTCCCTCACTGTGCTCTGGAAAGTGATGATTCTGCAGGTGCAAAGAGCTCTGCCCATGTTTGAGAAGTAAGCCCCCCCCCGCCGTGCTAAGTGTCTCAGCCGATATAATAGACGCTTGGGAAGGGAGTAATGGTGAAGATAGATATCCAGGTGAAGTGGTGGAAGGGAAGAATCTAGGCACTTTTTGGGGAAGGGTTTCTAATGCCATTACGCTTGGGGACTTCCCTCGTGGAGAAGTTTTCAGAGATTATGTGTTGCAAACAATTCAGTACAGCTTTTAAATCAAATACACCTTGCAGAGAGTTACAATATACTGCTACCTGAGTACAGGAGTATCTTTTCCCATTGACTAATGCTGCTCTCTCCAACTTTTTTTCAACCTCTGTGAAGAGTTGGTCTGATCCAGGATGCATGCTGTGTAATCCATTGCCATGGATTGCTTTTCATTTTTTTTTCTTTTTAAAATAAATTTTCAAAGAGAAGAGAAGAGGCATAGCATGGCACAGGCAAAAAGTCAAGTTCAGATCGTTCTCGGTGTCCATTACCCAAGACCAGAAAATTAGCAGCAGTCTTTTTTGTACAGCAATATTCCAAATAAAATCCATTGTGAATAACCAGGGTTGCATCTCAGAATTCTGTGCTCCTAATAATTACCTGACAGGGAAAGAAGAGGTAGGTTAGTTATTAAACCTAGTGCCATCCTCTCACAAATTTTCCATTAATTAGTTAAGTGCTCTGGGATTCAATTCTGTGGCTCCCAGTGACTTTAGTAGCAGTCACATGGCTAATAAACACTTCATGTAGTAGCTTGTAAATAGTCTTTGATTTGGAAGCAAGTGTACATTTTACATTTACACATCCAAGTTTTTGTCAAAGGCATAGTATGTCTGTTTACCTTGATTGCAAATAAGTATTATTGGTATGTGTACAAAATATGGTGGGATTCTAACGGTAATATTGTCAGGTGGAAGAGCATGGGGTTTTAATCAGTATTATATCCAAACTGTAGGTTAATCCCTTCTCTCCATCCTTAAGAGTAATTTTCTTCCTTTCTTTCCCTCTAGGCCTACCTTATGGATGGGAAGAAGCATACACAGCTGATGGAATCAAGTACTTTATCAAGTAAGTAGTGGCATCAAAGCCACGTAAATTGTTTCTATTGCATCTGGAAGGAGATCCAACCCCCCCACCCCCCACCAAAGAGGCAGGTAAGGATCGGGCCCCCACCCTTGTGTACGTGCCATAGGGGTATACTAAGGTTTAATTCTCCCTAAATTGAAGCGGTATTTTTAAAAACCCACCGTTTCAATTTAGGGAGAACTAAACTGAATGAAACCCCTGTGGCGTGTACAAGCAGCCCTAGAAGCTACATAAAAATCAGTAGCGCAACAAGCATCATCCAGCAATGTATGCAATAGAATTGAAAAAATTCCATCCCCTAAGATGTCCATCCACCTGAACATATAACCATACAAATGCTGTTTAAGTTGGCGTTGTGGTCCCACAGAAGGGACTATATAGTACTGTACTTGGGAGTTTGCATGTAGCTCTGGTTCCAGTCGAAGGAACTCTTCCCAAAGTCATCCTCAAAATCATAGGTTTCTCTAGGTTCACCGACACTATGGATCTACCTAAGATTCGATGCTGGTGGCCCAGTCATTCTGTAAGCACACTCAAGAATCCTTTCTGCTACCTGCAGTGGTTCCTGGACAGCTAGTTAGGGAAGTGATGGATGTAGCTTCCCAGTCTCCTTCTATTCTGCGTAGAGTGTACCTGAATGCTTTCCAGTAGTGTGTGTTTGTCTCCCTTCATGGTTTCCCCTTTTCATAGATTTCATAGACATTACGACTGGAAGGGACCTCGAAAGATCATCGAGTCCAGCCCCCCCACCCGAAGGGCAGGAAGTCAGCTGGGGTCATAGGATCCCAGCAAGATAAGCATCCAATTTGCTCTTGAAGGTGTTCAATGTAGGTGCTTGAACCGCTTCCGATGGCAGGCTGTTCCAGACCTTGGGGGCTTGGACGGTAAAGAAATTCTTCCTTTTGTCCAGCCTGAAACGGTCTTATAGTAGTTTATGACGGTTCAACGTCGTCATCCCTTGGGGCGCTCTGGTGATCAAACGTTCCCCCAGATCCTGGTGGTCACCCCT